TGCAATATATCCATTGAGACTTGTGCCTATGTGCTTCTCTCTTGGTATGCATTGCGGGGGGAGGCGCTGTGCCCTCCCCCCTGCACCCCCCCCACCCGCTTTTATTTTTTAACCGGTTCCCCTTGCTACCTACTATTCCTCTCTTTTTGCATAAGCATCATCGTTTATTTGGGTTAATTTCATCTTTGTTGATATCCATCGAGACTTGTGCCTATGTGCTTCTTTCTTGATCTTCTCGTTCTTACTTGCAATATATCCATTGAGACTTGTGCCTATGTGCTTCTCTCTTGGTACGCATTGCGGGGGGAGGCGCTGCGCCCTCCCCCCTGCCCCCCCCCACCCGCTTTTATTTTTAAACCGGTTCCCCTTGCTACCTACTATTCCTTTCTTTTTGCATAAGCATCATCGTTTATTTGGGTTAATTTCATCTTTGTTGATATCCATCGAGACTTGTGCCTATGTGCTTCTTTCTTGACCTTCTCGTTCTTACTTGCAATATATCCATTGAGACTTGTGCCTATGTGCTTCTCTCTTGGTACGCATTGCGGGGGGAGGCGCTGCGCCCTCCCCCCTGCACCCCCCCACCCGCTTTTATTTTTAAACCGGTTCCCCTTGCTATACCTACTATTCCTTTCTTTTTGCATAAGCATCATCGTTTATTTGGGTTAATTTCATCTTTGCTGATATCCATCGAGACTTGTGCCTATGTGCTTCTTTTTTGATCTTCTCGTTCTTACTTGCAATATATCCATTGAGACTTGTGCCTATGTGCTTCTCTCTTGGTACGCATTGCCGGGGGAGGCGCTGCGCCCTCCCCCCTCCCCCACCCGCTTTTATTTTTAAACCGGTTCCCCTTGCTACCTACTAACTATTCCTTTCTTTTTGCATCAGCATCATCGTTTATTTGGGTTAATTTCATCTTTGCTGATATCCATCGAGACTTGTGCCTATGTGCTTCTTTCTTGATCTTCTCGTTCTTGCTTGCAATATATCCATTGAGACTTGTGCCTATGTGCTTCTCTCTTGGTACGCATTGCGGGGGGAGGCGCTGCGCCCTCCCCCCTGCACCCCCCCACCCGCTTTTATTTTTAAACCGGTTCCCCTTGCTACCTACTATTCCTTTCTTTTTGCATAAGCATCATCGTTTATTTGGGTTAATTTCATCTTTGCTGATATCCATCGAGACTTGTGCCTATGTGCTTCTTTTTTGATCTTCTCGTTCTTACTTGCAATATATCCATTGAGACTTGTGCCTATGTGCTTCTCTCTTGGTACGCATTGCGGGGGGAGGCGCTGCACCCTCCCCCCTGCACCCCCCCACCCGCTTTTATTTTTAAACCGGTTCCCCTTGCTATACCTACTATTCCTTTCTTTTTGCATAAGCATCATCGTTTATTTGGGTTAATTTCATCTTTGCTGATATCCATCGAGACTTGTGCCTATGTGCTTCTTTCTATGATATTTTTTTTTTTGATACGGATATTTTTTTTGATCTAGGTTTGCAGCACGAAACCCGTGAGGTCTCACACAGTGGCACCTGGATATTTTTTTGATGCATATATATTTTTTTGATGCGTGCTGGATATTTTTTTTTGATGCATTTTTATTGTTTTTTTGATACGTGTCTCGAACGAGATCCTCATGAATTGCCGGACAAAGCTGCCACAAATAGATGGCTGACGGGAAACGACTCAAGCCTTTTGCGGTCACATTGCATTTATGATAGGGATGAATCTCCTTGTAAGAGCTACCTTGTTTTTTTGATTGTTTTTGTTTGAAGAGCTGATTTGCTAGGGTTTCATCAATGTGCTGTGGTGTTACAAGCGCCATGGTGGTTACAAAGAAATGCTATGCCTTCCAGATGTCTTAAACAGCAGTATCTTGGATGTGTTTCAAAATGATCCTTATCCGGGGCTTTTGTGTTTCGAAATGATCCTTATCCTCTGTGTTTCAAAATGAGCCTTATCCGGTGTTTCAAAATGATCCGGGTCCCCATACATACATACATACATACATACATACATACATACATACATACATACATACATACATCATACCTACCGACCTACCTACATACCTACATACCTACATACCTACATACCTACATACCTACATACATACCTACATACCTACATACCTACATACCTATAGATAGATAGATAGATAGATAGATAGATAGATAGATAGATAGATAGATAGATAGATAGATAGATCAATGGCCATTTCAGGATCCTAAAATGGAGGTACTGTACCATAGTCCATATTTTGTGGGTATATTCCCTTACATAGGCCTGAAGAATTGGCCTTATATATGGTAGGTACCTCCAATTTGGGTTCCTGAAATGGCCATTGAATAGATCTCCCCAAAACCATCCCCCCCTTCGCGCTGTCGCCTTGCAGGAAACGTTGGCACGCAGCCATGGGCCTGGCTCGTGCCTTGCTGAATGGACGCCCAATTGGCACACGCCGGGGACCCCGGAGACCCAGAAAACCATGGTGGGTGGATGGTAATTTCTTGGGATTTCTTGGGATTTCTTGGGAAACTGAAACCTTTGGGGACTTCCTTATTCTTAAATCTGAGTCCATTCAAATTTGGGTTGTGCCGATCATTTTTCAAGCGTTGGATGAGTTAAGGAAGATGGAAAATTTAGCAACCAATACGCATCAATTTTTTAGGGCAACAGACGAATCATGATATATGGATAAATTAACTGGGGAAATGTACCAAGAAAATTGTACACCCTGGGTTGGTTCATGTTGGATCCTGTCACCTCAGTCCTTTGGTCAACAATCCAAACAGGGTCATTCAGAGATGTGTGAACAAACAGTACCAAATTCAAGTCTCCTACTTGTGTTGAGTGTTCTGACTTTTGGAAGGCATGTCAATACCAGTTTGAAATATTAGTTACATCTAGTTACTAGTGAATGAAACAGAAAACTAGAAGATTTCATTTGATTGCCCACTAGTAAATAGTAGCTATTTCATTTGATATCTATATATCTGGCCTACCGGACAAGCAAGAAGATTTCATGTGGTTGTCCCGGTTTTTTGTATCAATCTTCCGGGTTGCGTCGGCACCCAGGTATCAAGTGACTAAAATGGATTCAGAATATTTCTGAAACGAAGTTGTCATAAACCTTTGATTCGGCCCCCTGCAAACGGGGTGCACATGCATTTGGTAAAGGTTGAGATCTTGAAACTTCAATTGGAATAAGTTGTGCTCATCCCGATGACTGACAACATCTGATAACTTGAATCGTGGCTGGGAGTATTTCCCAAAGCACCATCATATATGCAGAAGTTTGCGCCACTCAGTGAAAATAATCCAGGACCACTTCTGATTGAGACAGAACTTGAAATTTCATGACATTTCTACTTGCCAATGGACTACAGATTGTAGCCATGCACAAGTAGATGTTTAGCCTTTTTTGGGAGTAGACAAGTCAACACCGTATTTGTTCTACCAAAATTTGAAGAACTTTCGCGGGGATCAACGAACCACCCAGCAAAATTCAATCTAGGGATCGATTCTTCACTGCATAGTGGTGCCCATAAACCCAACAGCTACAGTCATCTGTTGTTTTGCTAGCTTAGCTGTGCAAATGGGGCATCCCTTTGTAAAGTGATTGACCAAAATAAAGTTGGTCGATTATGACATGGGTTATACTAAACTACCTGCACTAAATCATCCATTTCAAGAGGAATGTCCATTATGAACCAACCATTTTGGGAATCCCCATTTATGGAGGCGTAGGCATCAAAAAAAACAAATAATAGGGATCAACAATGATCAACAAATCATCCCGGGAATTTACATAGCAAGAAAGGAGGATGCGGACCCTTTCAAGAGAAGATGGGCTCGCCTTGGCGTTTCCGTGCCAGATGTGGAGGACTGCACAGGAGAGATACCTTCTGAGATCCCAGATGTCGTCCTCGAAACCGGAGATCTGATTACCACAGAGAAGGAAATACTCGCTGCAGGACGGTCCCCTTCCACGCAGGCTGGCCGGCCGCGTGGAATTTCCACACAACAGCCCTGAAACGGTGGCCATGGTATCGTGGCTTTGGTTGGACGAATCGGACGAAGAAGATCAGCAAACAAAAAAGTGCTCTTTGGGGAAAAGAATCAAGACACGGATACTTCCCCGAGTAGCAATCTTCCAAGTGAAGAGGGCGGAGCTCGAAGCCAAAGAAGGGCAGGAATCGAAGTATTTGCTGGCCCTCTCTGGAGTCATGCAAGCTGACTCTCTACTAATGATCATGGCGATAGAAGAGACCAAAGAAAATCCCATAGACAAAATGAGTCTTGACCAATACATACCTTGACTTGGAGTGCGATTCATCTTAGTGTTGACAATTAATGTCACCAGATTGTCGCCAACAACAATTAGCCAGTGCCAGGGCATTTGGGTATTTCATGTGTACTTGGGGTTTTCATTTTGGATGATGGCAATGTGGCAAGCTCTACGCAAGGACTCTGCAAAAGATTTCTACCATGGACTTACCCTATTATGCAAGGACCCTGGTAACAAAAAACCTACCATGGATTGAATGGTAGGATGGCAAGCTTTGTGCAAGGACCATGCGAAAGATTTCTACCATGGATGGTAAGCTCTATGCAAGGATTCTGCAAAAGACCTCTACAATGGATTTGCTCTATGCAAGGACTCTGATAAAACAAATCGCCACCATGGATTGGATGGTAAGATGGCAAGCTTTGTGCAAGGGCCATGTAAAGATTTCTATCATGGATGGTAAGCTCTATGCAAGGACTCTGCAAAAGATCTCTACAATGGATTTGCTCTATGCAAGGACTCTGGTAAAAAAAACTCTACCATGAATTGGATGGTTAGATGGCAAGCTTTGTGCAAGGACCATTTCTACCATGGATGGTAAGCTCTATGCAAGGACTTTGCAAAAGATCTCTACAATGGATTTGCTCTATGCAAGGACTCTGGTAAAAAAACTCTACCATGGATTGGATGGTAAGATGGCAAGCTTTGTGCAAGGACCATGTAAAGATTTCTACCATGGATGGTAAGCTCTACACAAGGACTATATATGCAAAAGATATCTACAATATAGAGGCTTTTGAATGTACTTACTACCTAAATGTGTATGGCAACGTAAATAGTTCTGGCATTCCCCACACACAAGTATTATACCAAGTCACCTACCACCTATTGTTTCCCTGTCAGTACACACAATATATAATTATACGTATAAATAAGTAAATATATATAAATAAATATATATATAATATTTGGAAAACTAGTTGTATTTATGTAAATATAATAATATATATATATATGTATAATATATATGTATATACATGATATAAAATAAATAAATATATATATATACTTATTTTTAATAAATTATATCATGTATATATATATGTAAATATATATATATATATATACATGATATAATTTATTATATATAAGTATATATATATATATGATATATTATATTTATATGAACATATAAATAAATAAATAAATAAATAAATAAATAAATATATATATATATATCAATGCTGAATATGCAAATATATATTTATATGTGTATGTTTTTAAGTCTCCATACCCCAAAATAGCCACAAGAAGAAGTAGGAAGTGACATGAAGGTATTGAATTTGATTTCCGGTACAATGGACATGTATGCGCAACCTAGCAAATTCACACTTGCATTCACACATGCTTCTGTTTTTGCCCACACATCTTCCTCCCTTTTTTAACATCAGACTTTCAACATGTGGCATGAACTTCACAAACTCAAAGTCAAGCACGTGGTTTACCTGTCAGCTTGTCATATTTTATATTGGCCAGAAGGCAAATGATGCATTAAGATAGTTTGTTGTGAAATTCAACAAGTCTCTTGATAGTTCTTTTTGATGCAGCATTTGAAACAAATACAATGGTTTCAGGAAAATTTTAATCATGGAAAGTCACTTCAAGCTGTTCCAATGATCACCTGTAATTGCTTCACCTGCTACCTTTTGCACCTACTACTTCTTAATGGCAAACCATCAATCAATGTTAGTCCACATGATACTAATGGAAAGTCGCCTGTCACTTACTGCCACAACTTGTTACATTAGAAACTCACCTGTCACCTGTCATCCACTAGTGCGTCCCACTGACAGCCAACCTATATTCTATGTCAGTGGAAAGCCACTCACTGTAACCTAAAATGTTTAAAAGGAAAGCCATCTCCTGACTCCTGCTTTTTGGCCTGCTATGTTGGCCCTGCCATTGGTGATGCAGACTTCTTTGGGCAAGGCCAGCGCCCAAGAGCACCATTTGGAAAAAGGAAGTGATTGTCATTTCAGTCTGAGGGGATGCAGCTGTGGGCATTTACAGTAAGAAACAAAACGATACCACAGAATGTTACTTCAGCAAAGCATTTGTTTTTATGAATTCATGTCACAATGCCACAAAAAATGATAGACAGTGATGCCATCACTTCACCATATTTGTTGGCCAAGCCACTGCTAGGATGGCTTCACAGGAGAATCAGCCATCCTCATGCGACGTAGCTGGCTCAGCAATGCCCAGAGAGGATGCCCTTTTAAATTTAACATCCCCCTCATGGGAAAAAAGGGCCATCCCCCCCAAGAAGAAATTTACAAGTCAAATTCATGCAGTTTCAACCTTCCCGTGACCATTCTGAATCTGTTTTGTGTCAGTGGCCTGCTCTGAACTTAGGTTAATGCATTATGGTCACGTGACCCAGCAGCTTTGATTCCGATGCCAAGTTCAAGTTTGTCACTTTCAGTTTCAACCTTTGTTTTGATGCTTTGGATGTTGCATTTGAATTTGCCACGCAGCCATTATAAGATCTATATAGGGATTTCACCTGTCATCTGTCACCTGTCATTTGTCCTAATGTCGCACCCAATGTCGCGGTCACAGAAGCCATTCAGGAAGATTTGGAAAAGTCCATTGATGAGCAGTGATGAGATGAACCTATGGTTTCCTGCCTTTAAACCTGAGGATGTGAAGTTGGAGACGAGCCTGAATTGAAATTAATTTCAAACTTTGTAGCTGTTTGAGTCTAAGCTCCATCAAAAAAATGATGCACTTTGAGTCTTGCTTCAGGATCACACCACTGAGTTCGGATGCTGCTTTGGCGGAAAGGATGCGATTGGCATTGGGAACAGGGGCTTTCGAAGACCAGATCATCACCCCGTTGTTCCCAGACGAGTTCAAGTTCGGAGTGATCATGAAAGACAACCAGACAATGAAGTTGCAGGTAGTTATGTTTGACAATTGACATTTGCATTTGCCGGGGCTTTGAAAACAAGAAAAAGTGATTCAAATGATTGACATGTACTTGGACATAGTCAGCTTATCATACTAAGATGCAAGATTTTCCAGATTTGGATTGTTTTTTTTCCAGGTACAAGCATCACTGGCAAGGCTCGGCTTGAATCCCAGAGTTTGTTCCACAAGCTGTCAT